AGAATTACCTCATTATTTATTCTTGGTGCAGTCCACCAATTAAACAAACAGTTTTATATATAGAAACAGGGATGGGCTTAGCTTACTTTTTCAGGGTCATTTTCAGAGACGTGGACACTGAAGATGTGCAGGCTCCTGTTACCAAACCCCGCAGGTACTCTCTGTCTCTGTGTCTGCGTGTGGGCAAACGCATACGTGTTAGGCTACGTGCCGTCAGCAAAGCTGATCACGAGTGAAGGAAAGTCAGAGAGGCCTGGTGGATATCAGTTGAAATTCCTCTATTTGGGTAATAATGTGTTCTTCAAGCCACTAGAAACGTGTCAGGGATCCTTAAGAAGCTGATGGGGCTGAGAAAGAAAAAACCTGCTACGTTTTAATATCAATCACACTTTGTGGGAAAAGTTCATATGACTTACTTTGTGAGCATTCACACCTTCTGTCAAGTAAATATTCAAAAGGAAATCTTTATTATGACTTCTGTCAGCTAGTGATGTGCAGTATAATGCTAATATTTAAGAAAAACCTAATTTACTGTAATAGTTCACTTCAGAATGCATTGGTGTACTTCAAAATGCATCGCTAACAAATGAAACAAGTGGATTACATAGACTTCAGCAGTCAGAATCATGTAAGGTTTGAACAACAAATACATGGTTGATTTTTAAAGACTGTAGTTCTTTCCAATATTTAACATTCACAGATTTTAAAGATGAAGCAGAAACCAAGTGTATTTTGACAATGGGAAGAACTAGATAGGAGGATTTTGTTAAAGAAAGTTTAGACAAATGTAGGAGACATGGTGTTAATGTAGTTGCTGTTGCAGATCTCCCAAGTCCTGACATAAATGATTATGCATGGACCATGAGTTTTTGCAGACTCTGAAAACTCTCCAGTTTTATTACTGCAATGTGTTAAAAGGGCCATGAGACAGAAGTGCCACAAGAAAATTGCAACCTCTGCTATCCCTGCATAAAATTCCAAGGATTTTGTTACATGTAAAAAATGCTTTGATACTTTTCCAGGGATGGGAATAATTTTTAAAATTAACTTATTATAATTGTATTGTATCTGTATTTGGCCTGGTTTTAATCTGTTCAAAAAAAGACAAATCCAAGGCAAAAATGAGAATTACATGTTGCAAGAACTGCCAACCTGCTGCTCTGTGTTTTCTCTACATGTCAGTTTTCTAAGTGTGATGGGTCTCAAGTCTGAGACCAAAATGAAAATGAAGTACAATGCATTTTTTGTATAAGCCCCTGGATGTTAAGCACTGGACAAGGCTCCAGTGCAGCCAGTCTTGCAAAGAACTCAGTGTTAGTTGTGTTCAATAGACATCACAAATGGCAGCAATAGTTAAGCAGCATTCTAAGAGCTGAGGAAGGAGCTGGGAGCTCAGTAAGAAGATTGCATTGCTCAATAATAATTCTATATTTTCAATGCAAGAAGGTAGCCCACAGTGAATTAGATACTAAGGACTTCATATGAAAAACATAAAAGGGTTTATGCTTAGTTTGAGTTGATTCTGCAAATACCCCAGATTCTTGCTATTATGTCAAAAAAGAGTAAACACATGAAATAAGTTATAATTACAAAGGATTACAAAATCCTGGAGCAATAGTTTCTGAACTTTTTGGTTTATGACCCTACTTGCATTTCTTAAAACAACATATTGGAGAAAATGGATCAACTGACTATTAGTTTAATTTAGGCTATCTTTGAGTAAGAGCTAAGGAGAACTTTATTCCCAAAATAGTTCTTATAAAGGACTGTAAACCTTGCTAGCACCCAGCTTATGGAGCCTGAAATAAAAATTGTCGATTGGTAAGCCCACACATGACAAGTTTCCTTACCGACCCCCAGTTACACTTCTTTATGCTCATTGGCATATACATAATGTATTCATTTAATAACTAGGTTTTGGCAGATGTTTACTTTTGAATTCTATTCTACAGTCTTAGAATTGGAATTCTGGATGACTAAGGCAAGCTTTAGAGACAAATATTTTTATTTTTAAAAATTAAGTTATTTGTGGTTGTACTATTATGCTGCAGATGAGAAGGCCTCACGCACCAAAATCCTCACATTTAAACTTTCGTAGCTGCATATTTTATAAGCAGCATGGATTTCTGGTCAACCAGTTCACATTTAAGTTTTGCAAGCATAGTTTTGAAAGTGATCAATACAGCTCACACTAGCAAAGCCCTACTATACATCTTCATGCAGAAAAAGTAATTTTGAAGGTAACATTTGTTTTGGTTCAGAACTGTACATTGACAATATAGCAAGCAAAACGACTCCTTTGCAATTACAGCCAGGAGTTGCAAGGGTCACCACTAGCAGGAATAGTATCCACGTAACTTGGACATAGGAACTACAACATAATCATCCTGGGCAAAATATGTTTGCTAACGTAAGCTGCATTTATTCTCAAAAGATTTTGGTTTTATTTTTATTCTAGAAGAAACTTTGTGCAGGCAAACTAATTGACTTACTTCCTGATAGCATACACACCCCACTGTAAGCCTGGAAGGTGTAGTCATGGTTTGGGTGTAAGAAAGAATCTGAGACACTCCCAAACTGAAGGCAGAACGGATTTAGTTTTTTGCTTTTTAATTAAAAAAAAGCAAACTTAAAACAATGTCTTGTCATCAAACAATGACAAGAAGATACACAAAATTTCATTACTGCTGACGAAAGCAACATCAGAACATCAAAAGCCCAGAGAATTCATCCTAAAGATTTCATCATTCACCCAGGTATTTTGTTGGGTCTGCATACAAGTAGACTCTTTGGCTTGGTTATTTCAGGGTTAACGGTTTCAGGAGACAGGCCTGCTTCCACCTTGGTTCACAATACAGACCTGCTTCACCAGAAGGACACACCACTTGCAGCCTAACCTAATACAGTAAAATGCCAAATCACAAATAAGCAATAACCACATACAACAATGTTACTTGTGGTTGTTTTAAAGAGAAAGCCAAATCCTGTACCAAGGGGAAAAAAATATTACAGTGACCCTTAAAAAAATTCCATATTTATAACCAAAAAGGCAATTTAATCAAAATATTTAGCAAATATTATTTAATTTAATTGCATTACATGACTTTGATCTAGTGTAGAACAGACTTTATTCTACAACTTCATAACTTCTTCATATACCCTTCATTTCCACCTTATACAAATCTAAGCAAAAAAAAAGCTGAGATGCAGCACATCTGAAAAAGAAACCCCAACAATCAATAGTTCCTGTAACATCTTAATGATGCAAATTCATGAACATTTATGTTCTTACTGATTTTCCGTGCTGTTAGCACCACTTTACAGGCATTCTCAGCCCTGAACATTTTTGACCTTCTTGCTTTTTAAAAGTCTTATGGAAAGACTTCTTTTTTATATTAAATTAAATAAATCAGAATATAGGGCAATAGAAAACCTAAGATCTGGACTATAAACAACATACTAAAATAAAAGTGTTCTGATACCAATACAAGCAAATGAGAAACAAGATTATTAACAAATTCTAATCTCATGATGGATGTATTTAATACTAAAATTTGCACCTGCAGAAAAATACTTTTGAAATCTGTCACAAATCAGTCTTAGACTGTAAAAGTTAAGAAACACATACTTCACACATAAAAATGTGCAGTAAACATTACACCTGAAAGCTCACAGTACAGTTTTTACTGAACCTGAATATAGTTTTTTCTCCTTTAATGATGATTACATTGATCTGTTGTTAACATTAGAATGCTAATATATATGTGCAAGTCATTACAGATAAAGATTGTGAAAACAGCTCGTGTAAACACATTAGCTGACACAGGACCAACCCTTTTGGCTATGGCAGTTTGTTACACGGTTGTCCTATCAAAGTTCAGTGCAGAATGTATGTTTTTAACAACAGACACATTCACAAACTATCAAAAGAATAATAACTTTTCTCTGGTTTATGCTACACAGAACGCTAGAAGTTTATCTTCCAGGTGACAACAGCTTTACTGAATTCATTGACAGATGGTCTATTTAAGACATTAAAAAGCAAGAGCAATAGGACCCAGGAAGAAGATAATATTGGAAGAACTGTCAACACTTTTGGAAAACCTTAGTTAGAAAACTATTACATTTTATGAGAGGAAATAGGTTGTGTTATAAAGAAATAGTCCCAATGGCATACCTAGATCTTTCACTTTTAAGTGAATAAGGTGAAAAAGGTATCAAAACTGACTAGGAAAAAATCAAGCCTCTTGAAATTATAAGTAAGGCACGTTGAGAATTAAGTTGTATTGCACTCCCACAGAATCTCTGTCCAGCCTAGACCAAAGGAAGTCACTTCACAAAATCTAGCGAGACAGAGCTATACTGCCTTTGGAATGTTAAAGAAGGAAGTACGACTTCTTGTAGGCAAATACAAATGTAGAACATACCATACAATTGAAGTTTACTGTGAGAAAAGCTTATGATGACATTCTAAAAATTCATGACTCAGTCCATGTCTTTTCTCCTAAATGGAATCCTGAGAAAAGACCATGATGTGTTTCAAATAGTTCCACCTTCACTGTCAATCCAAAATGGGCAGTTTCTACAGAATAAGATGTTAATAAGAATGGCAAAATCAAAGTGATAAATCACACAGCAGGGAATGCATACTAATCAAAAACACAGTACATTTTTAGATTTAAAAAGACATCATAACTTTCAAAAGAAAATACCTTTATCTATTAATCTTAGCACTTAATTCTCATGGACTTGGTGAAGAATTTCATTTAGTTCATTTGGAACTGGTTAAAGTGCTGTACAAAGAGTAAAAATCGTTTGCATTTCTCTACTGAAAACATTTTTTACTACTCTTGAAACTTGCCTTCAGTAATAACTCAAAACTGATGGAACAGCATTAGCAAGAAACAGCTGGTTATCTTAGAGGGCATTTATTAAAGTACTTTACCAAAGTACGGTGCAAGAAAAGCTTATTTACGCCCTATGTCGAACAGTCTCATTAGTCATCTTTTGCTTTTTCCTTTAGATATTGCCTCTCCGTAGGTCAGGTGAATAAAGTCAAAGAGTTGCGTGGCATTGGCAGCATTACCCAAAATTTTGGAGAGTTCGTCCTTTGAGAGTGTCACTAGCTCTGCAATGCTTTTAACGTGGTTCATTAAGGCACGACAGTTCTTCGCATTAACACCTGGCATTTTTAATAGAAAGTCCTGAGGACCGGGGTTATACTTGTCTGACTCAGGAAGAATTTCAGAATCTGCTGTGACAGCCATTGCTGTTTCTGCGTCAGGTTGGGGATGGTTTTGTTTTAACTCTTCAAACAGTTCAGCTGTAGCATGGGGAGAGGGACACCACAGGATACGTAACTTTGGGAAATGGAGCGTAAGAAGGGTTAATTTAGAAGTAACATCATTACTGGATATTTCCTGATGAAGAGAGCCTCGTGGAATCAAGGAGAAAGATTTGTTAGGATCAAACTCAATCAGGAGAATTGGTCGCTTATAGTAACGGGACATAGAAATGCATTGTGCATACAGCCTTCCGTTATTTAAGGAACCGATCAGATCACTGATACTTTTCCGCTCTACACAGGTATCAGGAGTTAAAATGTAATCTCCAACTTCCAAAGTAACAGGCTCAATGTCAATACCACGACGATGAATCAGTGATGGAAGCTCACTACGAAACTCCCGCATATCCACTATTATAGTTTGCTGAACGCTCTTCTGTTCCTGTCCACCTGAAGAGCAAAATAAATATGGTTAGCCTAATACCTGTGACCTCTGCTTTCAGTTGTGTACTTTTCCTGTGTGCTGCCAATGCTCCTGTAATGGATGGACTTCACGTCTCAAATTATACCTCAAATTCAGCTGTATGATAAATCCAGACTTTAATTTTTCACTGCTATAGAGAAAAATCTGTTGCCAAATTATATACTGCAGTTCATAGAGTATGCTCTGCAGTTTAATAGAACTATCATGCTACCTACTATAAGCTTCATATATGTGTTAGTGAAATACATTACCCTGTAGATGAAAATTATCTTCTAAAAGTTACCTACAAAATAAGATAACAAAGCTGGTCCTTTTTATTCCAAGCTGTTTCCCACAGAAATATGGCATTTTATTGTAGGAGTTACATGCTTTAGCCTCTACAGATCTGTAGAAGGACACAGGAAGAAACTGCAGCCTCAAGGCCACAAGACATAATGGCAAAGATAAGAGAGCATATGGTAAAGGAGAGCAGGATTACAAAAATGACAGCAAAGAAAAACTGGGGCAGAGCTGTAAAGATGAAGACAGAGTATATATGTCAGAGGAAAGGAGGAAAAATGTGTTAGAACTGCAACAAAAGATAAATGATGCTTTGTTGCAAAGAACGTAGACAAACCCCACAACCTGCAGTTGTTTACCTGGGCAGGCTCTTTTGCCAAGATCAAAAGAAGTCCTCACCATTTACCAGCTCAAGGACAACACTGCCTTTGACTATCTGTAGACTTCAGTTTTAATGTTTTCATTTCTCTCCACTTCCTTACAAGCAGTGCTAGACAGTCTCATAAGCAATAAGCTGCCTCGAAAAAACCCAAACGCGTCTATCTTAATGCTGAAACAATTAATCTGTATCCTCTTTTCAAAGAAAAGATAATTCTTTGTCACTGCACAGCCAGCGGTAGATGGAGTAAGGGAGATAACGGTCCCTTACCATCAAGACTGCAAAGTCAATGTGCAATGTGTCTCTCAACACGATTTAAACACAAAAGTTATTGGTCTTCTTCAGAGTTTAGTTACAAGCCAAGGAAAGGAGCTGCGTACCTGCTTTGCGTGTGTCAGCAGAAAAGGAGGCAGGTGTAGCATCTCTTACTAGGTCTAAGTTTGTTTCATCTCTTCCTTCTCTTTCTTCAGGAATAACCATGCTTGCCTTCTCTCTAAGGAACCACAAAGAAAGAAACACTAAAAATTGCAATTATTGCAAAAAATAGATGAAAATACTTTTAATAGCCTCCAGTCAGATGTAAAATTGCATATAGTTTAATACTAATTGCAAACTTGATCAGGAACACATTTTACTAGGTTTTCCATATTGTTAAGCTCGAAACTGTATTTTTATTTTCAAGTGTTTGCACATTTTAGCATCTGTTTTTTTATTTTTTGAACTTCTCAGGGCATATGGAACTAATAACTAGGAAGAGCAGTATAAGCTAGTGAGAAGACATTGTCAGTAAAAATACTGTCTTATACGGTCTAAGAAAATAAGGATCTTGTTCCCCAAAGTGATTTAAGTCATAAAAGCCTTAGAAATATCTTACAAGAAATCTTAATAAAAATACATGTAGAGAAATGAAACTCATAGACAATTTGGGAAAAATACAAGTGGTCCTGTTTAGCCTTTCAAATTTAATATTAAAACCTCCCTAAAATTAATAAATAAAATATCAGGTGCTTTGATAAGGAAGGTTTTGAATTAAAAGTTTATTTAAAGCCTTCACGCAGTTAAGAACTTTACTCTTATTTAAAATGTAAGTATGTAAGGGAATTACATGAAACATTAATAATAAAGGTAATAAAATAATTTTGTTACCGAATGAGTTTTTCAAAGGCCTCCTTCTCTTTCCTCAGAGCTGTGAGATAGCGCTGTTCTTCTGTTGAGCCTCCATAGATGAGAAAATAAACCCTGTAGGTTTGGAGGAGGGAAAAAAAAAAGAAGAAAGAGACCACAAAACTTAATATTAAGTTAAAACCACCCACAACCAGTATTTAAGATTAGTAGCACTAAGTCCCTGACAAGTTACTATTTGCCTTAAAAAAGGCAAGTGAAAAAACCACTCACTTTTCCTGTGAAGATAATTCCAAAATCAGCAACTTAAGTTCTTACATCCAGTGTTCCCTCCTTCCCCAGTAGCAGATCCATTTACTGCAATTCTGGGATCCAAGCAGAGTGGACTAAGTCTGCAGTGGGGGATGTCCCTGCCCATGGCGGGGGGGTTGGAACTAAATGATCTTTAACGTCCCTTCCAACCCTGACAATTCTATGATTCTATGATTCAGCAAAGGCACAAAGTGAGCATAACAGAGAAGCTACTTTCTTCCTGTTTTTAAAATCCTCCCAGTAGAATATATATAACAAACAAAAAAAATCTGCAATCATCCTGGGTTAGGAAAAAACACAATCTAAGTTTTTAAAATTATATATTTATACAAAAATAAAATCATAGGTTCTAAAAAGGACAAGCTGTTATTTATCGCACAGAGATGAACAAACTGGTAAATGGGAGTTTTACTCCACAAATATGGAAAATTAGTAATTAGCTTAAGAAATTAATTTCCTGTAACTTTTCAGCACAATTTTAATTGAGGTAAACTTTGACAGGCTGATAAGATTTTATTCCTATTTTTCCACGCAGTGTGTCTCCTAATCCCTACTTGCATCACTGCATCTGAATTTCCTGCTCTGAAGTGTGGGAATATGGTGTTGGAGGTCAATACAACACATGCTGATCAGGCAATTAAAAAATAAATTGTGTGAATAGCCCAGTAATTATCCTCATGCAATATACTTGTTCTGTCACTTATATCTGCACTAAATAGGCCTTACCTGGGTATCAGGTACAGACACACTAAATACTGCCAGACAAATTTTCACTTACATTGAATGTATATAAATATTTGACTGGAAAATTACAAATGCTCTGTTAAATTTATGCAAATAATTTTCTTGAGGTGATTAACTATAAAGCATATTTCAAAAGGTAATAATTTCATATGCAAATAAATTGTGTTTCGACTGATGTAAGAAAAGCGTGTTTATTCTGAGACTTAGGAAGCTGTCACAAGTTATTTTCAGAGAGGCAGAAGTGCAACTACAGTTTACAGTGCTCAAGAAATGCTGTATCAGACAGCCATATAAATGAAAGACAAGGGAAAAACTCGCAGTATATTAAAGTTTTCTATATTTTTAATTAGTCTGTAACATTTACCTATAAAAGTGAGTTTTGCAATTTACAAGTGTATCAAATATATATAAATTTTTCTGTCAGCTAACAAGAGAAATGAATGTGACTGCAAATACTTCTCATTGTCTTTAAAGCGTTTTCCTTTACTTGTTTTTCTGTTACAGTTTCTGAATGATTGGTTTTCAGCATGACCAGACACCAGGAAATATGAAAATTAATTAAGTCCAAACCGAAGTTTATTGTGTAAAAATCGCACCTATAGAGATGGTTTAAAACGAGACTACAGCACCTCAAAATGGATCTACTGCCACTGAGAACATCTAAGGAGAGGCCTTGTATAAGATGGAATGACTTTTTTTTTTTTTACAGGTATGTTTCTGCGGTTATAGGACTCAATATCTGCTCAGAAGTAAAAAATTATCTTTTGGTTACATCAGACATCATGCTTTTGTTTAAAATTAAGAAGAGGGCTAAACAGGACTTAAAAAGCTGCACCAGAAAAACCACCAGGTGCACGTTCTGCCTTGACTGCTCAAAATGCACTTTTCCTTTTTTAATAGTAAAACTTGCCTCAAAGGCTTCCCAGGCCTGCTTGCCTTGTAGATTTCCAGCTGTCGAACAAAAGTTAATTCTGCATCATATAATACAACGTATCTTGGTTCTACTTCATGCAGTACCCGAGTGAGCGCATAGGGATCATTGCACCCCTGCAATGGATGAATAATTGTGAGCGGGTTCTTGAAAATACCGTAGTAACAATCTGAGGGTAAGTTCACGTCGAAATCTTCAGGAATGGTCTCTTCAATACTGCTGTCTTGGCTACTGTTTAATTCCTTGTTATCTTCCACCTCTAGCTCCTCTCTCTTGCCCTCTTCAGTTTTTCCTATCATTTGGATTATAGTCCGGTCTTGCTGCTTCTTGTGTTTATTATGTTTTGAAGAAGCCGTGAATTTGGGTTTTTTGGTTTGAGGCCCTGTGTCTGGTCTGGCATTTCCTTTGGACTTGACTGGTTTTCTGTCATTAATCCACACTTCTCCAGCTTTCTCATCCTTTCCAAAGCTTTTGTTATACAGTCTTGTTAAAAAAGCTTCTGCTCCAGCAATAATGTACTCCCTGAGCTGTGCACAAGCTCGGTCATCGCTGGCACAAATCAGCACTTGCCCTGCAGTCAAGAAACAGTATCATGTTTATAATCTGTTACGCTGTACTTATCCAGCTACAAGACATCTCTTGATCAAATTGTTTTTAATGATCCTAGAAGCATGCCTGCCAAATGCCTTTACAGCTGCTTGTCACAATTGCTGTGGACTTTCAGGGAATCTAAATTGCATGACGTTTTGTACTAAGTAAGATTAGAGAAGGTTAATGGAAGTTCAGCATTCCTTGTTCTTACACCATCTAAATTAGTGAGATTTTCCTTTCAACCTTTTGACACGAGGCAGGTACAGCATGTATTGAAACATACTCAGACAACGTGGAATAAGAGAGAATTTAATTTAAACCATTCTAATTTTCAGCCTTTGTCAGCTGTGTTAGAGAGTGTAAAAAATACATGTTTCACACAGTATTATTGACATTTGTGGGCCCTGAATAACAATTCTTCACAAGCTGACTCAGATAAACTCCTACACCACTAGGTGAGAGAGCCGGTTCTTATCTAGTCAGAACACTGTGGGTGGGAGAAAAGAGCACTTTTTTACCCTTACTATTTCCTAGAATAAAACTTGGTGAAATTTAAGGAGATGAAAAGCCCGAAAATAGAAAAGGCAGCAAAGCAGTTAGAAACACACTTGCCTTCTACTCTCTAGCCCATTTAGGTGCACCTCCTGGAGAAGCAAATTTTCAGGTGTATGAGACAAATGTCTGAGATGGAAATGGCTTAAGACAGACATCCTGTCTTTTTTTTAAACCTGAACTTGAGAAATGAGTGAATGGTACTTTGATTATTACAAATTTCCATATAATTATTTTTTTGGGTTTGAGACTAAGGCATCAGTACAATATTAAATGCAAGTTAAAATAGTTTTTCATAGCAATACAGGTTCTTTCCTAGAAAGTATTACATAGTAACCAACAGCATTTCTCTTTCAGAGGAAGAACTAAACTGGAGTTTATGTAAAACTATTTAGTTTTACATAGTCAATGCACAGACATACATATACACTTTGTCTTAAGACCACAATTTTTTACATTTAGAACTAGCTCTTTAATGAAACTACAGTAATGAGTTAGGTTCCTTCTCTCACATATCAAGTAGAAGTAAAAACTAGCAGTAGTGTGAAAACTTATATCTTTCAGTATTCTCTCACCTGGACCACCAAGGTCTTCACTGTTCTTATTCTCATTTTCAATCTCTTTCAATACTTCTCTCAAAGCTTCCCATTTGGGATTACTTTCTAGAACCAACTCCCTTTTCAGCTCTGAAACAAAGTAAGATTGAACATAGCAGCTCTTACAGCCAAGATATCCTTCAGAACTTTAAATTAGTGGTTAGACGTCAATAGCATGAGGGTTGTTGGCAAATACAATATTCAACAGCCTACATATGCAACTTGTTATGCTAATGGATTGGAGAACACTCTTACAGAAACATTTAAAAATCAGAATAAATGCTTTAGTGAAGCAAAAAAAAAAAAACTCACTTATTCTTCAATTCTGAAACTCTTGATTGTATTTTTTTTAAATAAAAACAATGGCAGCCTCCTAGCCGTTCACATAAAGTAAAAAGGACAAACACCGGTGTGTTTATTGGTGTTTCAAGAGCAATTCCATAATACTCTCCCAAGCTTAGAAAACCCCCTTACTTCTTCGTGACTCTGTTTTATGTTGTTTATTTTATGCTTTTTGAATGAAGATCATGTCTCAACTTATCCCAACTAACAGACTGGGATCTTGAGCTGTGTAAGAACACTTAGGAAACCACAGCACAAGTAATAATATGCAGCGTATTTGAAATCGTGTGACACTCTCAAAATTAGGAACGATCAGTACCATTTTCCTTCTTTACTTTTTCAGAGACTTTGCCTTTCTGATTCAGTTTCTCATCTGCAATGCGATAAACTCTAGCTCGAGCATTTACAAACATTGAAGTACTGGAGTCAAGAAACAGCCAACCTAAAGAGGAAAAGAAAGCAGCACAGTTTGACGTTTGCAATGTGTATGGTGTTTCAACCCTCTCCAGTAAAAGCCCCAAATCTCTCATCTGGAATACCCATGCTACCTGCTTTCTATGTAATTACTAGCTTAGTAAAAGACAGAAATGTGATGCAAATATCACACTGTTAAGTAACAGCAGTTAAGTGGGAAGATGAAAGCATTATCTGTCAATAAAAACCTACATCCTTATGGCTGGTTATATAAAATCTAATTAGATACCTTCATATGTTTGGGAATGTTAATTAAAAATATCAACACTTCACTGTTCCATGCATTAACTTGCATGGTTGTTCAGTGCTTACCTGAATTCTCACCAAAAGCTTTTTCACTTGCTTTCAGTGACTCCAGAAGATTAAGGAAAGTGACACAATCATACTGAGTTAGATACAGGAGCAAAGTACGTAGTATCTTCAAATCCTGGACCAAAGATTTAGTCTTAGCTCCAAGCTGATGCCAGAGAGGATCTAAATAGTGACGTATTGTCTAGAAATACAAATAGGAAGTTCAGGATGTCAAATATATAGTATACTAACCGAGGTAAGAATGCACTTTATTTTCTTTTACAGGGAATGTCACTGGTTACCGTGTTATTAAACATATCTAGTGAAAGATGTGATGGTGAGTTATTTGTTGTGATAGGTAAATGTTTGCAAAGTTAACATACTATGTTAACTTTATGTAAATTATTTCAAAAATTAGCGGATATTATTAAATGGATTCAATAAATATTTTTCTTTCCATATAATAATAAAGAAATAGAAACCCACTCTTATTTTACTGGTACTGGCATATGCCTTTAGTATCTAAGATCCTTTACTTAAAGTAAAAATCATCATGAAGTCATTTAATTTTCAAAATAAGGTGAGTACCATGAAGATAAGCAACCTACAGAGCATGAGAAAAAAAACCTCCAAATATTTGAAGTACAGAAGGCCTCACACCCAGATTATCACAGGTAACAAATAACCATGTTTTCCCATGGTGGTTGAAGCTTATGATTTTACCCTACAGAAAGCGTTATGTATGTGAAACATTACAGATCTGCCAAAATAACAATGCACACAATTAATGACATATATTATGATTAAAAGATACAACAGATGCATGCAAGTGCAGATTATGTATTATGAACAGCGTTTCTCCTAACAGAGAAAATAAAAAATAAAAGCAAGAAAATCAAGAGGAAAAAAAGGGGGGGTGTGTAAATAACTGCATACTTATCTATGAGGTATTCTGAGCTGAAATTGCAGCCATCTTAATAATAATATAATAATTTTTAAAAAAGTAAGCCAACCATGAATCAGAATTTCCTTAATGTAGGGACTTTGGAAATGCAGAAAGAACAATAATAACTATACACCAAAAAAAAAAAAAATCTACTGGCAGCTGTAACATCAGCATTACCAGTTAACAGTTTCTCTCCTTGTACCACTAATAAACATGTCACGGGGGAATACCCAGTTGCTGCTGGTTATTTTACAAATATTATTTTGATTAGCATTGCAGACAGTTTGAAGATCTACATCCCATTAGGTAGACACAGCAAAACTGTTACCTTGTCAAAAGGTTTACCAATAGCATTTTCTAAAGATAGATCTTCTACTTCAAGAGCTGGATTATAACGTTTGAGTTCTCTCAGACACGCATTCAAAATGTCCAGGACTGAAGTCTGGATAGCACGCATGGCAGGGGTCATTGACACATGTATTTCCACCACTTCAGGTTTATGCTTCTCTAAAAATGAGTTCACCGCTATATGAAATCTAAGAGGAAAACAGCTTATTAAGATTTACATGGATGGTCTGCTTGACCTACAATTATTCAAAAGTTTGTACCAACTACAAATGTTCTAACTGTAAACATGTACGCTAACTGCAAAATAAATCAGTTTCTGTGACGTGAAGACTAAAATCTTATGAACAGCCTCAGAAAACCATCTATTTCAGTTATGTGTGGAGTCATTCTAGTCACGTGAGCCTATAATGATGGTGAATGATCCACGGAAATTTACTGCGCTACATTCTACGATGTCGTTACACATAGCCAGTAATCAAGTAAGAGAAAAAAAAATCTCATAAGGGAGAAACTGGAATAGGTTCATAAATCCTTGGAATCCCATGAATTCACGAGCAGATTCTGCAGTGTCCCCAGCTTTTGATTATAAGCAGCAGCCCTTGTTAGGACACCGCCCCTACAGCCAGCCTGGCTGTACAGGGACATTGGTGCTGGCTGACTTGCTACCAGGAGACTCAGAGAAGGCTGTGCCTGCCGACCTCTGAAACCCGACAGGCATTTCCCTTTCCGCATGCTGCACCCCAGGTGTCTTCATGGCTCAGAAGCCAAGGAAGACAATTTAGAGAGCTTCTGTTCCACCATTCCTATCCTAGTTACGTCCAGTTCTACTCTGTGATACTGAAAGAAAGACTGTTGAAAAGTGTACAGCGCAGAGTAACAGTTCGTTAAGATGGAGAGAAACACTCTAGATTGGACTAAAGGAACAAATGGGCAGATTCTAACATCCTTCATATTTTTTCTTTTTTTTTTTTTTAACTTTCCAATGAAGTAAACAGGTGCCTTACCTTGGCCACAGATAAAGCTTCCTGACAAAAAGATTTCTCATCACTATTTCCACGTGGCAAAAACCAGTATTAAAAGCAACTGCATTATCTGTAAAAGCTTTAATAAAGCCTTGCTTGTTCTTCTGGCGATAAAGTCTCAAGATAAATGCTTCCTGACAAGATTCAATGATTCTGTGTGCTTTGTATACCAAAATGCCTGGTAAAACAAAAGGTTTTCAAGTTCCAAAACAGTAGAGAAAGGTCTAGTTTTATATGCATTCTTCCTCAAAATTGTCTTATTCTATTAACATATTTTTCCTGAATGACTTACAATAGGAATTTACATCTTTTAAAATGATGGTTGAATGAGCTTTCTGGAGTTCAAATCAAGTGATTCCTCAGTTTCAGTACCATGGAATCCCCAAATAACAGAATTGGGTTAATGATCCATCTTTAGCAAAAAAAAAAAAAGCCAAACAAACTTGTGCTTGAGTGGCAGGACTTACAAGCTTAGAAAATTCTTTACTCCTAAGGCAAAACTTGAACTTCAGCCTTTTAAAAGGACTAAAAGCAAATGCAAGACATAACTCCCTGCTAGAAAAAAGCAAGTTTGGTATGTTCCAGACTGTGATATTTGAATTATTGTGTTAGTTCTGGAATTACAAAATTTGTCAAGTATGTTTCACTAGTAACAGTTCAACTGTTTACATAATCAAAGAACTTCTGAAAACACTTATTTTGCTTTCACCCTTTTCTGATATTCGTTCATGCTGGAGGACAGAAAGTACCACCAACTGTGAGTACACCACCCAATTTCTTCACGGCTAGGAGTGTATTAGGAAAAAAAGCTGAAAACTTACAGTGCATTTTATTTCTGCAACATTTTTCTTCAACTCAACCCCCAGCAATGATTTTAAGAAGCCTTTGCTTTGTAAATGAAAAAGCATCTATACGAAAAAGACTTCCATATAACTGCTAGACATTTATGATCAAGTCATGGAGTAATTCCCTGCAAGGTATTTTTGTACCTAGATAGTCTTGTATCTCCCCTATGAAGCAATTTTTCAGGACGTAATAGTTATTGTACTACTTTCTTAACATCTTTGCTTGTCAAAATGTGACTCTGAAAGGACATTGCAGGACACAGCATTTGTAACAGGCCAGTAAGACCACGTGCTTATCATAGTATCTTCCTATTTTTAGTCAATATTTCTCTGCATATGAAGTGAGTTCATAGTGCTGTGTATGCCTTGGTAGAAATAGCATCCCACTGTTTACTACTGCAACTTGCACCAGTTTAACTGTGCTATTAAGTACATCACTTCTATTTGGCCCAAACTACCAGAAATAATAATTCTTACTCTTATATTCATTTAGCTGAATTTATGAGTTCATCAGATGTCAACTCATACGTGATTCCACATTGATTTTATAAACAAATCTTTGTAACATCCAGAAACACTTTGCTAATTTTTTTTGCTATCTTAACTCCTCAAGAAATGCTATTACAAGTTTTTGCCGTACAGTTTCACGGGGATAACATACCTTTCCAACAGAACCACGTGCTACCCAAGTTTTAAACGAAGCAGCTAGTCTATCAAAGCTGCTGTCGCACTGACCTCTAGTGGCAACGCAAAAACTGTAACAACTCTGTGCCATTAGGGGACAGGACTTTTAAAAGTCTTTAGTGTATTTCTTCCTTTCACACTGACAAAGTCCAAAGAACTACATAATTGCTCCTTTTACCGTGGTCTTTCTGGGGAAAAAAGAAATAATTCTTCAACTTCAATACTGGTTAGTAGAACTACTCATAGAGAGTTAAGCTTTTTGTGTTTTCAAACAGAACAGTCTTGCCTGTATTTCATTAAACACTTACCAGTAATGAGGTTTGCAGGAATTCTGTCAGTAAGAAAATCTACCACAAGGATTCGACTTGTTGCAAAGATGACTCCTCCTTGTGTGTAAAATTCATAACGAGTGTTATTCGCAATTTCATTGGTAACACGCCGAGGAAGATGAACAACTCCATCTGACCTCAGCTGATCGATAAAATACTCCTAAATCAAATACAATAAAAACATGAGATATGATTGTGGTAACTAACGAAATGGATGCAAAATAAACTCAATTATACATATAATTTTAAGGAGCTGTCCAAAAGAAATCAAAAGCACAGTAATTTATTACTTATATTTTATATATATAATATGTGATATATTACTATTATGTATTACCTAGGGAAGCCAGAATTATAATGTTTTTTTTTCTTCTTAGGTACAGAATCAGAATCATTCAGGTTGGAAAAGACCCTTGGGATCCTTGAGTCTAACCACTAACCTTACTCTGCAAGGCTGACCTCTAAACAATATCCCTCCAACACCCCATCTAAACCATCTTTGAACACATCCAGGGATAGTGACTCAACCACCTCCCTGGGGATTCTAATCTCTGACTACTCTTTCTGTGGAAAATTTTTCCTAATGTCCGGTCTAAACCTACTCTGTTGCAGTTTGAAGCAATTCTCTCTTGTTCCATCACTGATTATCTGTGAGAAGAGACCAGCACCAACCTTTCTGCAATGTCCTTTCAGGTAGTTGTAGAGAGTGATGAGGTCTCCTCTCAGCCTCCTCTTCAAACTAAACAGCCCCAGCTCCTTTGATCGCTCTTCATAAGATTTATTCTCCAAGCCCTTTGCCAGCTTTGTTGCCCTCCTCTGCACTCGCTCCAGCCCCTTGATATCTCTCTTGTATTGAGGCACCCAAAACTAAACACGGTACTCAAGATGAGGCCTCACCAGTGCTGAGTAGAGGGGGAGAGTCACCTCACTACTCCTGCTGGTCACACCATTTCTGATACAAGCCAGGATGCCATGGTTACCTTGGCCACCTGGGCACACTGCTGGCTCATCTTCAGCCACTTGTCGATTAGAACTCCCAGGCCCCTTCCTGCCAGACAGCTTTCCAGCCACACTGCCCCAAGCCTGTAGTGTTGCATGGGGTGGTTGTGGCCCAAGTGCAGGACCTGGCACTTGGCCTTGTTGACGCTCATACCGTTAACACTGGCCCATCAATCCAATCTATCCAAGTCTCTCTGTAGGGCCTCCCTACCCTTGTGCAGATCAACACTCCCACCTAATTGGTGTCACCTGTGAACTTGCTGACGATACACTCTATGTCCTTATCAAGCTCATCAATAAAGACTTTAAACAGAAGCGGTCCCAACACCGAGCCCTGAACAACACCACTTGTGACCGGCCACCAGCTGCATTTAACTCCACCGACCACCACCCATGGGGCCCATCCATCCAGCCGGTGCTTCATCCAGCAGATCCTGTGCTCATCCAAGCCACTCTGTTAAGTTTCGGACTCATACAGGTGATTTAAAAATCTTAAGTATTTTCAGCAGTAGCTAGACAATACGTAAGAAAATATGAGCAAGTGATGCTCAAAGCAGTTAGACTCAATGATATTAGAAGTCTTTTGGAGTCTTAATGATTCTATGATTCTAATAGGGTTTTTTTTCATAGAACAAGTAATTTTAATACTGACTTAGGAACAGACAACTGAGAAAAGATTATTCTTTAGTCCACTCACCTGCTATAGAAGATAATTACATCAAGTAGCTTAACTTTATAAACCACAGCTGTGATGCCCGTTCAGGCGACAGAGGATGCCCAGCATGTCGCCTCCCTGCGTGTGGGGAATCTCCCCGGCTTCGGGGACAGCAGAGCAACACGTGTGAGTTTCACCCGTTTCTGCTCACTGGCTACTAACAGATTTCTGCTATTTATAACTCAGGTA